TAACGATATTCAAATTTAGGCGCTTCAGTGCGTTCATTAAAATCTGCATGCTCGTAAAATCTCTCATCTGCATACAATCTTCGTTCTTCTTCGACAGCATACCGTTCTTCTAGCTTAGCAATCTCAATTTTATCTTCTAACTTCTGCTGCTCTATAGCTTGACGCATTTCTAACTTACGACGTTCGACGTCTTTCTCAACACTTTGTCGATCGCGGAGCTGTTTCAGAGATAGCTCAGCTTTTTCTCGCTTTAATCGCATCTCACGCGATTTCGAGCTTGCTATTGATTTTGCAGACGACAACGAATTAGACGAGCTTAAACTAGCATTACTTCTAGTCTCAAGTTCGTCTGGTATAGTTTTTTCCTTATCGTGAGATTGTAAATATTGACTAACTTTGTTTAATAGCTCTGTCTTTCTAGCGAACTGCTCGTTGTATGCATGCATAGCACTCGCTACGGTTGAATGGTCATTATAGGCAAACAACAAAACTTCATTATGTACTAGATTAAACCGTTCCCACTGTCTATTAAATAGCTCTAAAAGTTCCTTTACAGAGTCCACATTATAAGTATCACATAAAAGAACACTTATCTTATTATTCAGCTCTGTTAAGTGCCCTTGATGTCCACTTCTTGACCTCTGTAACTTTAACATTCGTTCGGCGTTCACGGCGTCTTGGTCTAAACGAATATTAGGCCTTCTTTCCCGTTTATCTCTCTGATACACGTCTTGGCCAACTGCTCCGAACTGAGCAACATCGTCTCTTTCTCCCGATCTCGCTCGTCTTAACTGTTCATTCACAAGCTCGTCGGTTCCAACTGCTTGAACACCATCGTGTGTCCCAAGTCCCAAGGCATTATTATACATTTCCAGACTTCGTTGTTCATCCATCTCTCACCAAGGTCTACAACACTCGGGATCACTTTAAACAACTGAGAATAGACTAAAGATCCGGTTCGAAGGACCATTTGTAATCGCCATATCTTGGGTTTTTACTCACACTTTATTATATTTCAAAACAACTAACTTTTTACAACGTGTACACGGCCTTATATAGAAAACACACACTTCATTTACATAATAACAATACATTTACATACATACATATCTATCGCGTGTCTACACTGTTTATTGTTTACTTGAAGGAAGAGATGTTTTTGGCGTTATGCCAATGGGGATTGCTTGTCGTGAGGTGTTGGAATAGCAACATTACGACCTGGGGTAAACTATAGTATTAACCTTTACTTGAGTTTCATTAATTTCAAACAGACTTGATACGTTATATGTTCCTCAAGAAAATTATCATCTGGTTGATGTTGACTCTGTTCTTGCACTGAAGAAAACAGCGCTTTTCGCGGTGAAGTCAAGATTTAGAGGCAGTTGCATGTACGCCTATTCGAAACACTTTGCGATTTACAAGGCTTCGCTGAGAGAGCGAAACAGAAGACGGTATTAAATTGCCGTTTGAAACAATCTGGCCTCTGAACGCTCTCGTCTTTTGTAGAGTTCTTTACCAAATGAAATAACTGAAATAAATGTCGTACTTTCCGCCGCCAACAAGAATTGCACACAAGATCTGATAAATGAGACAATTTATTTATAACAGTGGCGACAGCGAAGCACACATTATAAATGCTAATGTAGTCGAGACTTCCCTCACGATTTGAAGTTTGAGACTGGTTTTCTGTTGAAATTCGTCCTAATTTGCCTGTTCCGATTTTAGTTGAAAATGAGCACTTGCAATTTGGCAATTACTGACTGCGTTGCTTGCTTTTTGGGAGTTAAAACGCAGCCATTTACACATTGTTTATGTTCTGAATAAGCAGAGAAAACCCCGCAACATTTTAATGCGAGTTTGTTTGTTAATATTTGGGTGCTGTCATTGGTTCTTTTTTGACAATTGATGCGCGAATGGGGCGTGTTATGAAAAGGGGTGTTTTACAAAATACCGGGCCTTGCTTGCAGGCCCACTATCAGTTCCTTTGGGCCTGCGCGCGGGCTATGCGCGAACTGGAAGTAGCCCTTCGTCAGAAATTGAATAAATTCCATTCAGTACATATTTGTTTTCATTCTTTGAATTCGAAGTCTTCCTGTTTTAATTTTTTTCACACAAATTCTAACCGAGTCAATTGACTTGGTTGACTTCTATTCGGCTCCCTCGCTGTGTCCCTATGTGAGATAGAACAACAACAATTCGCAACGCAGTGTGCAAAGCCCATCAAGTTTCATTCATATAACATATATGGTATAACATGCATGCATCCTCTGCATGGTGGATTGTCGCTAAAATTTTCCAGTGTAACGTAACGTAACGTAACATTAAGTCATGTCATTATGAGAAAGGCCCACTATTTTACAGTTTGTTCAAGATATATCGCTGGCAATAACTCAAAGGATTGAATCTGGTAGAAGCAATCATATAATTTTTCTTTCACATTGCGAAATACTAATATTTGATTAAATGCCAATTTTCACTATTCGAGTATTTAGCACTGTGGGATTAGGTCATGAAGGAATCTAATATAAATGTTGGAACAACAAATAATTGTTCAGCCACCAAAGTATATCAACGTCTTATTAGCATGATATTATGGTGGCCTTTGTTATTAATTTAATTCTAATAATATTTCTATATCAATTACAGTTAGCTACATATTATTCTTAACACTCATAGTCATAATGATATGCGAAGATAAAACAAGACATATACAATACGAATCATGAAATCACTGGTATACATTATGTGCGTGGGTGCATTGGTTATTGTTAAGAGGTCTATAAAACACGATGACAGCCAGCTGGCCCTCGATTCTTGTTCAGTTCTTGTTGAGAAGCATGGGGCAAACGACCCGCCCACCGGACCCGCCCCGATATTCGGATGAGTCGTGCGCCGTAACCCTAACCTTAATTTAACTGAGCATGAATGCGACTGCGAGTGTTAAGAAATAGTATACTATCAGTGTAGCGTCATACTAACTTCAGCAACACCCTCTTATTTTAGTTAGATGAGGAACAATATAGCAACTTGGTCAATGACAACTATATCATTGATGGTAGACCCGGAAAATTTTTAGGGATACCAAGTGTTGAATTGATGATAAAGGCAAATAAAGTCACGCTGGAAAATGATAACATAAAAAGAGAGCTACGCCGACAGTGGTTCAATTATAATAAAGCTGGTATGCAGTAATTCTAAAGTAATAATCGTTGAGGGTACTAATTCCGCTCGGCTATTTACACCCGAGGAAAGGACCAATCTCGTACCCAGAGCAATGCCTGTGCGCGGGCTAGGATGGCATTGGCTCTGGGGAAATTGAATTTTTCCTGTGCTGTGATTGGTTTAACGTTTATCAATCGTGCATGCCGACAAAGAACCGAAACCCCTAAATTTAGGGGTTCCGGTTGTCAATTTCCCCAGAGCCAATGCCATCCTAGCCCGCGCACAGGCATTGCTCTGGGTACGAGATTGGGAAAGGACAGGAAGCGGTTTCAAAGTTCATCAATGATCGTGGGCTCATGGCTATGTTTCATGCACGCATGGGTATCATGGTGCATGGTGTATGAATAGTCACTGTCACTGACGGCCAGAAGTGGAATAAGCAAGATTTCAAAAACAGATGGGAAATGTTTCATACAACGGGTTGTGAAGCAGTTTATCATTTAATTTTTTATTTTTTAATTATGTATATTTGTTGCTTTAACTTTTTTTACCCATATCCACTGTTTTCTACTTTCAGTATATATATGTAAGTTTCTTAAATTACGTCACGTTGGTCAAATTTGGCAAATATTCTTACGCTCTACCATCAGCAGCCCAGCAAATATATGTATTCAATTAAAAATGCGTTAAGAACTATTTAAAACACACGTAGGAGTGTTTTATCATATTTAAAATGCGAGTGCGCAGCACGAGTATTTTAGATTATGATAAAACAAACTCAGAGGAAAACGTTTGCGCATGCGTCAACCTTACTGAAATTTGCCTTGCGAATGTGGTTTCAAGTATTCCGAAGGTTGTCAAAAATTCAAAATGGAAGCGACAAGGAGCGACTTCCATGTTTTGCCTTTTCTGTGAAAATTCAAGCGAAATAATGAATATGACAACCTAAAAGCTACAAATAATTGGCCTACATCTGCAACTTTACTGAGTAGTATTATGCAAGAAAATGAATCAAATGCGACTGTGGATAAATTTATTGTATAAAAAGTTCTTTAACTGAACCATTGTTATGAAGTTTTGACACTTTAGTACATTAATTTCGCTGTTTGAGATTAGTTGATTAATAACTTTATAATTAGATGAATACTGAGAACAACATTGCCTAATATGGTCATCTTTTAGTTTTAGCGTAATGATTGACATTTGGATAAAAGTAAACAATATAGGTTTTTATAGTGCATGTGAAAACAGGGCGTTTTATTGTGAGACTGCGAGAAATACGAAGAGATTTATATACGTTTTATACGCGTGTTTATTGTGATTTATTGTGATTGTGGAGAATATCTGTTCAGCGGAGGGAACATTCACTACTCGTGGCACCTTTCGACCGGATCGGGTGAGTTTTAACTCGATAAAATCAAATACAAACCGCGGTATTATTAAGTCAAACGAGATGGAGTCTGAGGCACTAGATACGAAGCTAACGCAGCTTGAAATTACGGTCCAGAGAACAGAGTTTGTGTTGACTTCTGCACGACGAGAACAAATCAAACGGCACTTAGAAGCATTGAAAGCGATTTCACGTGAAACTGATGAATGTAAACCGTAGAACTCAAGAAAATCGCTAATAAGGAAGAGTTATCCGAGATAAACAAATGGCATGACGAAATTGACGAGAAATTAAATAAAGCCGATATCGAAATAAGTCGTCTCGAAGGGTGGCTCAACGACAAGGAGAAACATGAGAAATTTTCTGCACAAGAAGAACAGCTGAAATTCGAACTAAAGCTACACGAAACAAAGTTGAAGTTACAAACAGAATTGACAACAAATGCAACGCCAGACACGTCCAATACGACTATAATCACAGTGTCTGAGAAAATCGCCAAGCTTCCAAAGTTGGTGATCTCAAAATTTAACGGATCTTATATGGATTGGCCCAGATTTTGGGGAAAGTTTTCCGAAGCCGTAGATAAGAGTACCATAGCCCCTATAAGCAAGTTTACGTATTTGTGTGAATTACTTGAGACCAGTGTGAAACGTGTAGTCGAAGCCCTTCCGTTCACTCCCGAGGGATATAACAGAGCAAAGTCCATATTAAAAGACAGGTTTGGGAAAGAATCGGAAATCGAGAAAGCATACGTGAAGGAGATATTGGAACTGCCCCACATAACAAGTCCAAGTCCAAAGAAGATTGGCGAGTTTTATGAAAAATTATCTTATTCGGTGCAAGCACTGGAGACCATGAAAAGATTGGATCAAGTTTCTGGAAATGTCTCGATGACCCTCGACAAACTTCCGGCAATTAGAGGAGACTTGGTACGCACAGATCCCGAATGGGAAACCTGGGATTTCCTCAAGCTTACTGAAGCGCTACGCCAATGAATAAGAAGAAATCCAGCTGACAAGAACGCTGAACAAGAGCGCGAGGAAAACAAACGGAAACGGGACCACCACAATAGATTGTTCCAGGCAAGAGGCGGCGATTTCAAGGTTAAGGGCTGTGTTTACTGCGGAGATGAAAACCATAAAGCTATTGAATGTAACAAAGTAACGGATATCACCGAGAGGAAAAGAATTCTGGCGCAGACAGGATTATGTTTTAGCTGTGCTACGAGAAATCACCGCGCCGCGGAGTGTCCAAGCAAGACTTCATGTCAATACTGTAAGAGACGCCATCACACCTCGTTGTGCGAACAAGCTGAAGATGGGAACGTGAACAATGGGAAATTGATGACAGATGGTAAAAGTGGTGATGCAATATTTCCCGTTGTGGTCGTAAAGGTTGATGGAATCACCTGTCGCGCGCTTGTCGACTCCGGGGCTGACAGTTCATACACGTCGGCGAAGCTCATCGATCTCCTGAAAAAGAAACCAAGTGCGACGAAGATCCAGCTTATCGACATGCTGATGAGCTCGCGAGTTACGAGAATTGAGTCATATGACGTGGTGATCGGGTCCGTGGATGACAGTTACGAAATGGAAGTACGTGTGACAAAAGTCAACAAGGGTGAACTGTTGAGGATTGATAACCCAAGATATGAACAGTTAATACGAAAGCATCAGCACCTGAATCAAGTCGAGATCGCAGACCATGATTCGAAACAGCAACTCCCGATTCACATGATATTGGGAAGTGGAGAATACGCTCGAATTAAAACCGGAACTGTACCACTTGTCGGTGAGGACGGTGACCCAGTAGCTGAATTGACCAAACTTGGGTGGTTGGTGATGAGCCCGGGGGCTGATTTTGACAAAACCACTGTTCTGATGACACAAACCTCTCAGAGTGACTACGAGAACCTCTGTCGTCTGAACGTGCTAGGGATTGCAGACAGCGGAGAAATTGATCAAGAGATGGTCTATCAAGATTTCAAAAAGGAACAAGCAGAAGCCGCACAGAAACAACAGCTAAAGACGGACGATAAGAAACCCACAAAAGAGTCTACACCTGATAAATCTCAAGATAACTCGCAACCCGAGAACCTTCCAAAGCAACCAAATTCTGACAAGGAACCTCAACCCGCATCAAATGCTCCACCTGCGCAAGATACTCAACCCAACTACCAGGCGAACAATCAGGCACCTGGGCTGACCTCTACTGCTCAGCAAGCAAATAACGGTGAAAATAAACCCACAAAGGATTCAAGCCCTGAAAAATCTGAGCAAAAATCAAATCAAAATCCTCAACAACTAAACCCCACGTACCAACGGTCAACAACAAAACTTCGCTGCTGAGAACTTAGATACAAAAGAGAAGCAAAAACCCATCGAAGAAAGTGCCCCGCTAAAACCAAACTTGAAGGACGGAAAACAACAAGTGGAAGACCAACCCAAACCCGCAGCTAATTCTAAGCCCGCTTCTGTCGTGAAGTCTAAGGAAAAAAGCTCGGTTGGCGTGCCCGCGTATAGCTACAAAGGTTTGGTTAAGCAAGAGTTGGAAGCAATAAAAGATTCACCGTCTACTAAACAGTTTAAAGCTGATGTCTTGAAGGAGGTGCAAGTCAAACTTAAATCTGGCACCTTCCCTCAGATCGACACATCAAAGGTATTCGTCAAGCACAAAGTAGCAAAGCCGAATAGAAAACACAGAGTGACCAAACTGAAACACAAGAAACCCGAAGTCAAACATGCAATCGCGCACAAGAAAGGGCAAGGGAAACATGCAACCGTGTACAAGAAAGACGAAGCCAAACATGCAACCGTGCACAAGAAAGACGAAGCCAAACATGGAATCGTGCACAAGAAAGGCGAAGCCAAACATGGAATCGCGCACAAGCATCGCAAATTACATGGTAAAAAGAAGAAGGGAAGGAAGGCTGCAAAGAAAGTGAATTTGCATCGTAGAAAGAAGAAACATCATTTTAAGAGAATAGGGGATGAACTGGAGGAAGTGGTGATTGACGTCGAAACGGCTCTTAGCAACCGACCATTGAGTTATGTCAAGGATGACGTGGAACTGCCTGTATTAACACCATATTACAATTCAATGATGTTCCTGAACAATAACAACGTTCCAGAACTGGACCCCCACCACATCGAAGATGGAGATCTCCGAAGAAGAGCTAGGTTTCTCAAACAGTGTGAAGAAGCGATGGAGTAGGGAGTATATACGAGGACTGCGAGAACAACATCGTCGAGCGACCAGTAACGAACAAACAACACACCCACAAGTCGGGGAGGCAGTGATCATAAAGGACGAGCAGAAGAACAGAAATCATTGGAGATTGGCGATAGTGACGGACCTTATTGTTGGAAGAGACGACGTCGAAAGGGGAGCAAGGCTGAAGACCGCGAAAGGAAGTCTCGAAAGAGCGATCCAACAGTTATGCCCACTCGAATTGTCATGTGATACAACAACGCCACTAAATCCAACCGCGGAGACATTCGAACCAGAGCAAAGAGAGGAGCGGCAGCAGCAGCTCGTCTACGTATCCAACAAGTGGCGGCGAACGAGCAGGAAAACAACTGAATTCAAGGAAGGAACAATTATTAACTTTATCGATTTGAACGATTCATAGATAAAAGTGTCATGTAGCAGGCATGTATATCTCTCCGAGAACATACATGGGGGAGTGTGTTATGAAGTTTTGACACTTTAGTACATTAATTTCGCTATGTTTGGGATTAGTTGATTAATAACTTTATAATTAGATGAATACCGAGAACAACATTGCCTAATATAGTCATCTATTAGTTTTAGCGTAATGATTGACATTTGGATAAAAGTAAACAATATAGGTTTTTATAGTGCATGTGAAAACAGGGCGTTTTATTGTGAGACTGCGAGAAATACGAAGAGATTTATATACGTTTTATACGCGTGTTTATTGTGATTTATTGTGATTGTGGAGAACATCTGTTCAGCGGAGGGAACATTCTCTACACCATACAAAGATAATTTTCGTAGGTTCATATGATCCACATTTTTCTCATGCGTAGCATGTATAATTTTTGCGTTGTCTATATTTAAGGGTAATGATTTACTCTACAATTCAAGCGTGTGCAAATGCTTAACTCTTTGATAGTTTGCTTAACTTTTGTGTCTTATATAAGTTCGGTATTTGACAATTTTTCGAGAAATGTCCAGACGCCTCCCGGTCTAAAACGATAATTTTTAATTTTTAGATTAAAAAAACCCTTTTTATTAATGTCTAAACTACCCATCTAGTGTATTTTCTTGTTTGTTTTACTAACCTTAAATACATTTGCTTCATATAACCTTTTGTTTACAATTTGGCATTTAAATTCCTTGCCATTTTTTCTAGTACACGCACATGCGCAGACGATTTTCCGCGGTGAAGACTACAAGTGTTTTTGAATAGCTTCAGACAC